TCCCTGTCAGCTGCCGCCGCTGGGCCCGTCTACCTCCACCGGCCCCCGCCGCAGGCCTACCTGCGTCTGCTTGTCTCTGCCGCCGGGCCTGTCTACCTCTGTGGGCCGCCGCTGGGACTGAATGTCTCTGCCGGCTGCTGCCGGGCCTGAATATCTCTGTCGGCTGCCGCCGCTGGGCCCGTCTACCGCCATGCTTCCTCTTAATAAATGAGTCCAGGTTGGTTGTGGTAGGACACAACAAGCTGAGGCAGGAGGATGATGAGCTCACGGCCAACCTGGGTTACATAGCAATACTCTATCAAAATAAAAAGCATGCAGAGACTGGGATGGGGTACAACTGCTCCTGTCACACCACCATGTCAGCTCCAAATTGATTTCCAGGGACACTAATGTCTACTAACTTGTACAATCTGCTATTGATAGGCAAAAAGACCATTATTACCTGGAATTCTCAGATCCCTCCACATTCAAATCTAAGATGTAGAATGTGCCTATGATTAATTGATGAAAAATTGAGTTGATAAAAACCTTCAAGGTAGATTGGTGACCCAAGGTGATGATAGACTTTCCCATGGCCCCTGCCAGCTCAAGAGTACTCCAGATGCTGGGCAGTGGTGGCGCATACATGCCTTTAATCACTCGGGAGGCAAAAGCAGGTGGAGCTCTGTGATTTTTGAGACCAGTCTGGTCTACAGAGCTAGTTCCAGGACAACCAGGACTACACAAAGAAACCCTATCTTGAAAAACTAAAAAATCAAAACCAAAAAAAAAAAAATCCACAAAACCCAAAATGTGTACTCTAGAGGACCTGGCCAACTCATCCTCAAGTTTGGAAGGGGTAAACAGACAAATGGCATGTTTGGGACCTAAAAAATCAGGGCAATGGTGCTGCAGTACCCTGGATGTCAGGGTACCCAGAAATCTCACTTGCCTTTCTTGTGTTGTATTATAGCCACGACCACAGCCCTGCTCCCCTTGAAAATGGAGAAGATGCTGGTGGTGTGCTTGCTAATGCTTGGGCAGTTGGTTCTCCTTCTGCCAGTCGGAGCCAGAGATCATCCCCAAGCCAGGTTTCCCTCCAGAGGCCGCCGTGTCCGGACCCATCCTCAGACTGCACTGCTAGGTGAGTGAGGGGTGCCCGCACCAGCAGGCGTCAGCAAGGCCCTGGACCAGAGCACCTGGGCTGGGGAGGCTCCTGCTTCTGGGATCTCTGCTGGCTGTGCTGGGGACTGGGGGATCCCACTGGTGATTAGCACATCTGGACTGAGGATGGGAAATATCCAGGTTTTCAAATTACAGTTAAGCTTCTATTTTATAGCCTTGGGCTTAATGTATACTCATAACTTTGCTCCAATACACAGGGCAAAGGTTTTTCTTCTGAAAAGTCCCTGCTGGACTTCCTGGACAGACAGGGGTGTTCTGAGAAGAAAAAAGTATTAAACTTGTCTGGATAAGTCTGTCTGCCCATATTCCAGGATGTGGTGTTGTAGGGAAAGCATGGCATAGTGATGGATCACGGGAATGGAAAGTGGCAGGTCTCAGTTATTTCCATCTAGGGAACATATTTTCTTCAGAAAGAAAATGCCACAAAACACACAGAATACCAGCAAACTGTCTGGTCTGACAAGCAGGCTGGCCAAAGTGGCAAGAATGTATTTTGGTGTGAGTCTGAATTCAAGTTGTGCTGCTGTTTCTTGCTGGGTGACCTTTCTGATGTGGATTCTAGTCCTGCTGCTGTTTCCTATGGGTAACCTCTCTGAAGCTCAGTTCCTTTGTCTGTAAAATGGACATAGAAATGTTGGCCTTGGAGCATTTTCAGGGAAGTTAATGAGGCAATTTCTGTAAATTCTAAGTACAGTAAACACTAGCTTTAGTACCAGTTTGCATGACAGTATCTGAAAACATTTTACTTTACAGCTTGTGGGTAGCTGTTAGAACCTGAGCTCTTCGGACAGATACCTGGGGACCACAAATTACAGCCAAGGACCAAAGGACTGAAGAACCTGTTCTGATAGGGCAGGGTCTGTACTGATGTTAACAGTGACCCTGTCTTAGTCTCCTGAGAGTCATAGTGCCATAAACATAAGACTTCTGCATGCATTGAAAAGAACTGGGAAATGTTTAGCACATTGGCTAAACATTTGGGTTAAAAAAATAATTTCAAGATATTTATCTGATTAACATTATATATGTTTAAATATATATAAATAACTGAACATATCTTGATGCTTTCTACATAACCATCTGTGACTGCATAGTTGGGTTTATGAAGCCACGCCTCATACTGTTTTATAATGTTAGGGATGGAACCCAGGGCCTTTCACACACTAGGGGAGCTCTGCATCATGGAGCTATGTCTGAAGCCCCACAAGGAGTTTTTGATAATGCTGGTTTGGGGTTGAGCTATCCCTGGCTTAACTGGAAAAATGTATACCTTCTCTTTTCTTCTCTTGGCTCCTAGTCTGTCTGTCTGTCTCTCATACATACACACTCACCATCTGAATTGGTAACTCTGAAACTTCTGAGACTAGAGGTAGACACCTATTTTGCCAAAGGCATTGATCCCCATGTGGTGGTTTGAATGAGAATGGCCCCCATAGGCTCATACATTTGCATGTTCAGTCCCCAGTGGGTGAATTGTTTGAGAAGGATTAGGATTAGGAGGTGTGTCCCTGTTGGAGGAGGTATGTCCTTGTTGGAGAAGGTGTGTCCTTGTTGGAGGAGGTGTGTGTCCTTGTTGGAGGAGGTGTGTCCTTGTTGGAGGGGGTGTGTCCTTGTTGGGGAGGTGTGTCCTTGTTGGAGAAGGCGTGTCCTTGGTGGAGGAGGTGTGTCCTTGGTGGAGGAGGTGTGTCACTGGAGGTGGGCTTTGAGGTTTCAAAGGCCCATGCTGTTCCCAGTTAACTCTCTCTGCCTCTCACTGTGGATCATATGTAAGCTCTCAGCTACTGCTCCAGTGTCATGCTTCCCACCATGATGATCATGAGCTAACCCTCTGAAACCGTAAGCCAGCCCCCAGTTAAATGCTTGGTCCTAGTGTCTCTTCAGACACCCCAAACTACCATCACCCTTTCTTCCTCATTTTACTGGGCAATGTGTTAGGGACAAAGGGGACAGGGAGACCTCAACCTGGGCCTGGACGTGGCATGCTGTGTGTAGTGGCTTTTCTGCTCCCCGAGCCTTGGACACTCATGTTCCCACACATGCAGAAAGGCAGCTTTGCTCACAAGGGGGTTGAAGGAAGCCATGAAACTGGAAAGCAAACACGGCAACTCTGGCCAGCGTTCTGGATCGCAGTCTGCCTTGGATGGCACTTTGAAGGGATCAGGGTGGAGAAGCCACACTCGTTGGCTGGCCTTAGCTCAACCATGTGGCCGTCTGTTCATCCTCACAATAGGGTGTTTTGTGTTTTATGTGTGCTTGTTTTTCTTTCTCTGTTCAGAGCTCTGTCCAGGCCACATTGCAGTCCTGGAACAAGTTCCTTTGGCCACATTCATGGTGTCTCTCAGCAGGATGTATTCCCTGGTTATTCGCTTACAAGAGTTTCTCTGAACTTTGAATAGAAACAAAATTGTCCCTTAGGTTAGTTTATTTACTTATTTAGAGATAGGATCTTAGTACATAGTTCTGGCTGGTCTGAAACTCTCTATGTAGACCAGGCTGGCTTCAAACTCCAGAGATCTGCCTGTGTCTACCACCTGAGTGCTGAGATTGAAGGCATGTGCCACCATGACCAGCCTACTTAGGTGAAGTTTTTGTTTGAACTTTTTATTATTATTATTATTATTATTATTGTTGTTGTTGTTGTTGTTGTTGTTGTTATATGGTTTTTCAGGACAGGGTTTCTCTCTGTGTAGCCCTGGCTGTTCCTGGAACTCACTCTGTAGCCCATACTGACCTCAAACTCATAGAGATCCACCTGCCTGCCTCACAAGTGCTGGGATTAAAAAAAAAGAAAAAAGAAATAAAGAAAAGAACAAACAAGCCCATGTATATGTGTTTTTCTATCCTGTATTCAAATCAGAGTCTCAGAAATAAACGGGGCTGGAGAACTGTTCATTGGTAAAGCACTTGCTGTGCAAGTGTGAGAACATGAGTTTGATGACCAGAACTCATGCACTGTGGGCCAGTAGCTCCGGTAGTGGAGAGGTGGAGACTAGAGGGCCCATAGGGCTCAGTGGCTGTTCAATCTAACCCACTTGGCCAGCCTCAAGCAAGCCAGAGACTGTCTCAAGAGAAGAAAGTGAAACCCATCATGTCAGAGTTGGACACAGCAGCCCAACAGAAGGAAAAGAGTCCCAAGAGCAGGCACAGGAATCAGAGACACACTTGTTCTTACACTCAGGAGTTCCATAAAAATACTAAGCTAAAAGCTATAATATCTATCAGAGGACTTGGCACAGTCCAGTGTAGGCTCCGTGCTTACTGCGTCAGTCTCTGTGAGCTCATGTGTGCCTTGCTTAGTTGAGTCAGTGTTTGGTAGGAAGAGAGAGAGAAACATATAGACAGACACACAAATATGTGTTTGTGTGTGTGTGTGTGTGTGTGTACCTGTAACTCATAATTAAATTTCCACAAATTTTTCTGACAAAAAAAAGGAAGAAAGTATGCGGAGTCATGAGGAGCAACAGCTAACGTTGACCTCTGGTCCGCACACACATGCACACACACTCATCTATGCACACATAAACATGTACACACACACATACCCCCACTGAAAATGCGTGGATATACCCATTCCTCCTGTTAGTGTTTGTAGGTCATTCACTCCTCTATCCACATGGGCTTATTTTTCCCTTTTCATCCACGTGGGATTTCTACATTGGGACAGACACAGGATATAAGGTGGAAAGCTTGAAATCAACAGCCTCCATGAAGGGTGCAGTGAGGTGGTGGGGAACAGGCTACAGAAAGATCAATAATGTGGAAGAATCTGTGTGCAACCGTGCAGGCGTCTGCAAATTAACCAGTCTGCCAGCTGAGCATGATCTCTCAAGCTTTTTGGTCTCAGGAATCTTCCTCACACACTCAGGAATAAACTGAGAACTTCAGAGAGCTTCTTGTGGGCTAGAAATATCATGAGTTACTGCACTAGGAGCTAAAGTGAAGAACTTAAAAAATATTTGTTAACAAAAAACAAAAACAAATTCATACTGTGTTGATATAAGCTATTTTATTAAAATTGATTTTATCAAGCCAGGCAGTGGTGGCGCACACCTTTAATCCCAGTGCTTGGGAGACAGAGGCCAGCAGATCTCTGAGTTCAAGGCCAGTCTGGTCTACAGATTGAGCTCCAGGACAGCCGGGACGACACAGAGAGACCCTTTCTTGAAACCAGAAAAAATTTATTTTATCGATAATAAAAATTAGTGAAAGCAGCATTTCTGTCTTAAATTTTGCAAATCTACTTAGTGTCTGCTTTAATATAACATTCCTGGATTCCTGATTTTCCTTTGTTCAGTCTGTGGTGATTTTGGGGAGTGGGGTAATGCTGGGTATTGAACACAGGGTCCTGGGCATGCTAGGCAATTGCTTTACCACTGAGCTGCATTTCCAGCCATGGGATGTGTTGATTGGGCTGTACATAGATACCACATAGATACACGAATACGTGTAGCTGGGGAAATGAGAGGCATCTGTAGCAGCTTTCTTACGTAGAGTCTTCTTTGACAGTACATGAAACTTGACACAGAGTAGTTTCTTGAAATTAGTTGTAGTGTAGAATCTAAAACCACACCAGCTGACATTTTTTTTGTTAAATACACTCATGAAAGTCTGAGAGAATGAAAGGTGAACATATGTATTATGAACACAAGCCTGACCTCATGGGTCTTCTGAAGGGGTTCCAGGGAACCTGGGGTCAACAAACCACTTCCAAAATAGTGGTTTAAGAGAACACTACCTGTGAAGGCCATGACCTCAGAGAGCCAGGGTTGAGCAGGCAGCAGAGGGATGAGAATGGAGCTCACAGGCAAACTCTGCATTTTTTGGTAGTTCTCCAACTGTATTTGACACTCAGCAGCTTAGTTCTCATCCATTTTGACTGTCTGTAGATTTTTGACTGTGGTAACAGGTATGTAAGTTACTAATGTGTAGAGCTTGTTTGGTGAGTCCTCGTCCTCATTACGTTTTCTAGACAAATGTACATAGATACGGTATGGAACATTCCTTATTCCTTTGGCCCAAATGGCTTTATTGAGCCTGGTATCAATGAGCACATCTGGAGTCCCCATCTCCTTCATGGCAAATTTCCAGATTTCTTTGAGTGCCCTAGGGGCATGCTTCTTGAAGCCCACTCCATGGATGCGCTTGTGAATGTTGATGGTGTATTCTCGGGTCACCACCTCGTTGATGGCAGAACGGCCCTTCTTCTTCTTGCTACCCTTCTTTGCGGGAGCCGTTCTGCTGGGCCCAAGTTGGACATTAGCCTGAAGATGGACTCTATCAGGTAGGGGATCTGAAAAGGAGACAAGCCTAGACGAGCAAGGAACTAATGATTTAGAACTTCAGGACCTTTTAGGACAAGTCTGAGCCTTTAAGCAGACAGTAATGATGATCCTTTGACTTTGTGCCTGAGGGAAGTTCTAACCACCCCAAGCTTCCTGGGTGGGCAAAAGTCAGAATCTAACGAGCCATCCGACTTGCAGGTGCCATCCAGAGCAATGCTCAAGCCAATAGAACAAATGATCACAGGTTCCCAGCCTGTCCCATCCAGGTCATGATGGTGGCAGGTGGAGTCAGAGCAGCATTTATGCAGTTCCCGGAGCCCCTGGATTTCTTCCCATTCTACCAACAGCGCACATTCCCTTGCCAGTTCCTCCCCAGGCTCCTCAAGATAATGCTAGCTGGAAGATACATTGTCCTACCCACAGATGCTGCCACATCCTCTGTGCACATTTGTTTTCTTTTATACACTCCTGTCCTGTCGGGGGTGGGGTGTGTGTGTGTGTGTGTGTGTGTGTGTGTGTGTGTGTGTGTGTATAGGGGAGTACTATTTCCATGGCAACCAGCACAGCATAACAGCCTTTGTAGAAACCCTCACTGTTCCTGCTCAGTTGCTCACATATTCTCCATGTCCTCATTCCTAAGAGTGAGTGCAAGGCAGCCTCTTAGCGGTCTTCTTGTGTGGATATTCTGCTGCTCGCTCGCCTTCCCAGGCTTGTCACTCCCCAGGTGTTGTTGAAGGGTTTATTCCTTTCTCCACTTGCCAGCCTTGCTCACTTTGTTTCTACCAGCTAACCTGGAGACCTTTCCCTCTCCCGATGGACAACCTCCCCTGCAGCAGTACCACCCACATAGATTCCCGTGTGTTTCACAAGGGCACCTGGGGCAGTGTGGCAGTAGACTCAGAAGTGAGTGGCAAAGACTAAAGTGGATGCAGGCTCCTTAGTCTGGCCCGGGCATGTGGGGGCAGGACCACCACTCTCCTTCCCACACAGACAGTGCAAGGGTACAGGCAATAGAATTTAGGGACACTTCTTTATAAATATGTTATTTTACTACTTAAAATTCAGCTAATGAAGAAAATTTGTATTAGTCAGGACTCTCTAGAATAACACAGCTTATAGATGACTCTCTGTATATACAGAAAGGGTGTTTACTAGGGTAACTTACAGGCTGTGGTCCAGCTAATCCAGCAATGGCTGTCTGTGAACAGAAAGTCAAACAATTCAGAAGTTGTTCAGTCCACCGACTGGATGTCTCAGCTGGCCTTCCGTATACACTGGGATCCTGAAGAAGTGGACTTTAATGCCAGTGAAGGAAGGGATTTGCCAGCAAGGTGAGAGCAAGCAGGCAAAAAGCAAAAGCTTCCTTCTTCCATGTCCTTATATGGACTTCCAGCAGAAGGTGTGGCAGATTAAAGGTGTGTCTTTCCACCTCAAGACCCAGATGAAAGGCATGTTTTTTCCCAGCTCAAAAGATCTGGTTTGGGGCTGAGGAGATGGCTCAGTGGTTAAGAGCACTGGCTGCTCTTCCAGAGGACCCGAGTTTAATTCCCATGACTCACATGGATGCTCACAACTGTCTGTAACTCCAGTTCCAGGGGATTTGACAACCCTCACATAAACACACATGCAGGCAAAACACCAATGCACATACAAATAAATCATTTTTAAAAGTTGTATTATAAAACAACAACAACAACAAAAAAAGCTGGGCACTTAGGAGGCAGAGGCAGGCAGATCTCTGTGAGTTCGAGGCTGGCCTGGTATACAAAGTGAGTTCCAGGACAGCCAAGGCTACACAGAGATACCCCATCTTGAAAAACTAAAAGGATATGGATTGAAGGAGTGTCTTCCTACCTCAAAGATCTAGATTAGAAATGGATTTTCCTATTTCAAATTAAGAAAAAATTTCTCACAAGTGTGCTCTTCATTTGTGGATTTTAGTTAATATCAGATGTAGTCAAGTTGACAACCAAGAATAGCTATCACAGGGTCTAAGAGTTCACCTTACACATCTCTAAACATTGCTGTTTGGAAATCACAATGCATTATGAAACATTGACTACATTTTGCATGCACCTTTAATTGAGTCTGACATTAAAATAGTAGAAGTGGTAGCTGAGGAGATGGCTGAGTGAGCAAGGGTGCTTGTGGCTGAAGCATGGGGACCCGAGTTTGAACCCTAGCACCCATGCCAGAAGCTGTGTGTGGCCACACATTTGCCTCAACGCCAGTGTTGTGGGCCAGAGATGGGGTCAGTGGAGCTGGCTGCCTGCCGCCCTACCTCCAGGTTCAGAGAGACCCTCAAGGGAATAGGGTGGGGAGTGACGGGCAGGACACTCTGACCCCTGAGAGTGCATCGCCATGTGAAATTGCCAGGCATTTCATAAGAAGAAGAAATCCTTCTTAAATTATCAGTGTAAAGGGAGGAGTGGCTAGCCTAGAGAATGAACATGAGATGCCCTGCTCTGTTACTAATGAGGGTTTCATGTAGCTTGATAATTATTGACATTTTCAGCTGGCTTCCAATAATGAAGTAGGATATCCACTGCCTCAAACAATTCCCCTGACTGACATTTGTGGGTGCCCCTGGCGAGGGAGGAAAGTAGGTGCCAGCAGCCAGGAGGGTCCTTGGCTCTTGTGAAGACTCCATTAAAGCTACCCATCCCTCATCCTTTGAGGCAGTTGCGGGCGTGGGGTGGGGTGGGGGGGGGTGCGGCTACACTTTCAAGTTTCCCCATTGTGCTGGCTAGATTTATGTCAACTTGACACGAGGTAAAGTCATCTGAGAGGAGGGAACCTCAATTAAGAAAATGCCTCCATAAGATCAAACTGTAGGCAAGCTTGTAAGGCATTTTCTTAATTAGTGATTGATGTGGTAGGGCCCATCCCATGTAGGTGGTACCATCACTGGACTGGTGATCCTGGGTTCCATAAGAAAGCAGGCTGAGCAAGCCATGTGGAGCAAACCAGTAAGCAGCACCCCTCCATGGCCTCTGCATCAGCTCCTGCCTCCAGGTTCCTGCCCTGTTTGAGTTCCTGTCCTGACTTCCTTCGATAATGAACAGCAATCTATAAGTGTAAGCCAAATAAAGCCTTCCCTCCCCAACCTGCTTTTGGTCATAGTGTTTCCTCACAGTAATAGAAATCTTAACCCATTATCAGCTATAGTCAAGTCAAATGCCAATTCCTATCTCTCCCAACCAGGCAAGATCCACCTTCAGCAGGCCACACACATTGTGGGTCGCCTGCCAAGGTGTCCAACCTGACTACCTTATATTCTAAGGGCTAGCAGTGGTTCCTGCCTCAGAGACATTGGCATTCCAGTTATTTTTGTACTTGCTTAATATTTAGCACTAGACTGACTCACTTGGAAAGAGGGTTGAGTGGTGTACATGGATCACAGCACATGGAGAGTGGCTGGTTTGTGAATCCCTGAGATAGACATTATTTTCATTTCATCTTTGGGGGAAAACACTGCAAGGTGAGTCTTGTTATGTGCCTCTTAGTGATGAGGAAGCAGAGTCTCCGAGAGGGTAAGCAATTTATCAACTTGTCAAAACTTTGCAAACCACACAGAAACCGTGCCCAGCCTTATGAAAGGGATGCATGGCTTGTAGCACATGTACTCAGAGCAAAGAAAGATGTGTGTCCTGTGCTAGGACATGTTGATTTCCCTGGGCTGATTCTTCCGTGGGGACTTTTATGGAGACCATGAGACATCCACAGCCACCACAGGTCATGCTGAGGTCCCACTCACTTCCAGCCTTGGCACTGGTCCTGCTCACAAAACAGAGTATTAATATCTGATGGCTGATTTTATCATTTGTTTTTTTGTTAGTTCATTCACTCATTTCTTTAATGCTGGTGGTGATGACCCCTGACTTTACACATGCAAGGCTGATGTTCTGTGCAGACAGTGAGTTACATCCTACTACCAGATGATTCCAGTTTGAGGTTTTTTTTTTCTCATTGTCTTATCTATTCTCTTTCTCAACCACTCTGTGTGTCTGTCTTAGAGATCTTCCTGTCTGTGCCCCCAAACCCCCGCTGTGGTGCTGTGGTTCCAGACATGCACACACCACACACAGCTTTCCCATGGATGCTGAGAATCTTCATTCAGGGTCTCATGCTTGTGCAGCAGATGCTCTTAACTGATGAGCTGTCTCCCAGCCCTGATGCCTGTCTTGATCTGACTACTACATTTGCTTAGGCAAATGGTTTTCTTCTCTGAGACCCTGTTCCTTTCTAGAAGAGAAAGAGGTCAGTGATCTCTCAGGCTTTATCTAGGGAATGTGATATCACCAGTTCTTCTTTCTTTCACACCCATCGATGGTGTGTGGAGTCCTCTGCTGTCTTTCATTCTCTCCAGGTAAGACTGATACGGAACTGCCACATTCTGGAAGATGGGGGAGAAATTTGGAGTAGGAAAAGTTGGGGGGAGAAGTTTAGGGGTAGGGAGGATAGGCAATAGGACCAGGCATATCAGAAGCCCCTGGAAGACTTGTTGGAATACAGGTTATTTAGCCCCACACCCAGAAGGTCTCATTTAGCTGGTTTTTTAAGTGTAAACCATTACAGAAGAGCAGTCTTTGAGGTGGGGTGGAAATGGGCACGAGGAAGGCCTTGGGAGATACTGTGGAATGTGAGCCAGGAAGAGGATTCGAGATGAATAACATCTGCAGGAACAATTGTAGCTGGAGAATTAACTAACTTCAGGCTGGATCCACCCTTCTGAATCTTCGAAAATAAGCTGCTAGCATTTTCCTACCCAGGGAGAAGTTGGCAGAGGTAGGGCCCACGCCTGTGTAGGGAACCAGTCTCTTCCAGTGCCAGTGCAGCGGGAAGGATAGGGTCTCTACAGGATGCATTTGGCTGGAATGTTTCTTTATTATTAGAACTGACCATAAAAATGAAGGTTGGTGTATAGAGTTTATGAGATTGTTTTAAACATAGAAAAGACTTTTGAAGTAAAATCCTCC